GAAGCTTTCATTGAAATTTAAATAATAAGGATTTAAAACGGATTTGAAATTACAAAGCAATTAAAGCAGGATTTGGATTTCCACACATTTTTAATTACCAAATAATAAATTTAGCTTAAATTCAAATTCACATGCATCCAAACATAGCATAAATGTATTCTATAATAGTTTGACAGATGACAAGTCTTAGCATCAGTATTGCTATTGTCATATCTCCATCTTTAACTACGCAATGCATTATGGAGTTAAAAGCCTATATTTCCTCTTCTTGCCTTAACATATCTATAAATTTGTTAGATTAAGGTATAAATCTGCCCTTGACATTTTTACTCAGGTGTACTTGATATCCTCTATTTTTTTTAGAGAAAATGGCAATAAAATTCCTTTAAAATATATAAATAATAATTTGATTACTCGAAACACCATAATTCCCTTGAAGTTCTTAAGGACTTTTCTGTCATTAATGAATTTATATAAATTATTAAATTACCCTTATTAAAAATAAATGATTTACAACTTTTCTTTTTAAATTTGCAACAATTTAACAACAAATAAGAAATTTAACATGTGAAGTTATGATTTGCTATTATATTGTTGTGAATTTAAGAAGAAAAATTGTGAATATAAGAAGAAAAATTATGAATAATTTATTTTCAATAAGAGCAATTTGATAATTTATATAAATTCATTAATGACAGAAAAGTATTTAGAGACTTTAGGAGAATTATGATATCTCAAAAGACTAAATTATTATTTATATATTTTAAAAAAATTTATTATTATTTTGCCATTTTTTTAAATGTTATTTTGTTCAAATATTTTTAAATTTGGTATAATGTCGTCTACCGTTAATGTTTGACTAGGTTGATTGTTATCTCACCCTTATTTGCTTAGTAAGCTTGCCATGTTGGATTGTCCATTCCACTTCTCCCCTCCAGATGCCATTCTCGAAGCTGCTACTTCTCCTCCCTTTCCCTTGCTTTTCTTCTTCCTCTACCCCATTCTGGCAATCGTTCGTGATGGACCATTAGGATCTTTCCATAAATTTGTAACCTATGCATAGATCTTCATGGCGATGGATCATTAGGAGCTTTTCTTCTTCTTCATCAGTGAAATCACCAAAATCTGTGAAGGATCATTTCAAACCCCATCGCAATACAACTTACTGAGCATGATCTAGGTTGAAACTCATCGTGTCTCTTCTCTCTGCAATTTGGGCTTAAGGATCTAGGTTTTTCAATCTGCGTCAAGCACAATGGGTTTGATCGAATGCTCACATCAACATTGCCGATCCAGTTCATCTTCTTCATTCCTTCTTCTCCCTCGTTCTTCAGTAGTTTTCCTTTACATAACCTAGAAAAGGGTTTAACCAAAACCTAAGACTCACGCCCTTGAGTTCATCTACGTCCTCACATAATGGAAGAGCCCAAGAATAGCATGTTGAATAATACCGGCGGCAAACGTGTGTAACAGCAAACTCCCAACTGGTTGCTTGAGTCGTGCCCAGAAGGACACTGTCCTTAAGAACTATTCCGGCACACCCTCGGACGGCCGGCAGTTCCCCAGGATTAAACAAGCACTTCCTCGGTGGAACGAGGGAACAGAACAACGGAGACCAAACGTAATCACAGACAGATAGATTGGCATAGGGAGGAAGAGAGAACCGTGAGGACTCAAGAGGCTTCTGTATTTCGCTCTGTCTGAACCCATGGCTATATATAGCCCGAAGGTGGACATGAACGTTGGGAGGTTACCACCGGTTTAAAAGCTTGGTTACAGTCTCATAAAAATTATTTAAAAACTTGTCTGGAAACGTTGGAGTTACACAAAACGCATTCAACTCTGGAAACGTTGGGAACGTTTGGGAAGACAACCGTTTAGAAAAAATTAATTTGTTTAATGAAAAAAAAACGTTTCAAACTCCAGACAGCCAAAATTTGACTTCAAACTCCAGACAGCCAAAATTTGAGTTTCTCCGGCAAGCCAAAATAATTATTTATTTGTAAAATAATCCGATAAAAGGAACCCACTACCTCTTGAACTCACGCGCAGGGGGGCAAATCGGCTGATTTCAACTGCGATTGCCTTGAGTTGGCCTGTCTCATGTGCGCGAGACCACTTCTCTTCCAAGCCTATTTTACTAGCCCACTTCATTCCTTAGTATATATACACTAGGAGAGTCTTTCTTTTAATCAATGTGGGACTTTGACACACACACACTTTTGACACACATACAACATAGCATTCAGTTCGTCAACGCCCTTGAGTTCTTCCTTTGAATTTGAATCCTCAATGTTTTATTCTGAGACCCATGGTTTCTATTGTATTGTAAATCTGAGATTATGATTTTCTTATTTCTCTTCGGATTTTATGGTTTAGATTAAATTTGTAATGATTTTCTATGTTTATGGGCTCGATTCTTTCTGGTTTCTACTTTGATATGTTTTTAGGTTCGATCTTTTCAGATCAACCCAGTGTTCATTGAAAATTCATCTCCTTGGCTTCATCACTTGAGTTTTAGATTACTGTCGAACCAAGGTGAGGCTAAGTATTCTTTTGCTGGAAGAGAATGACAATGCAATCTTCTTCATTCTTACTTTGGTTTCTTGCTCTAGTTCTGTCTGATTGTCTATGCAACGCTATTTATGGGTGATTCGACTCTATCTCTACTCAAGATTCTTGCTCTGGTTAAGTTTTTGAACACTAACATCTCGTCGATGCTTCTCTCATAATGCAATTCATTATGATTTAGCACTTGAATATTGCTCAATGATTTTATCTGGATATGGTTTTCACTTTTCAGTTTTCCACACAGAGAGAGAGAAAGGCGCGCGTGGGGGAGAAGAAGAATGAAGAAGAATTATGAATTTGGGTTTGAGAAATAGGCCAAAATCTAGGTTTTCTGGGGATAGATTTTGCAGAGGATTGAGGAAGAAAGATGGAGGGGGGAAGAAGACCGATGATGTGGCAATAATTAAAAAAAAAAAATCTCATGCATGGATGTCAAGGTGACAGTTTAGCTAGGCACAAAACAAAATAATTAAAGATGGATTGGGTGGCTCACATTTCACATTTTAAATGTAATTTTTAACTTTTAAAATATAAAATATTGTTTAAAATATATTTTTTAAATGAAATATACATTTTTAAAAAAGACTTTCAAATGGATTTGAAACTAAAAAAATAGAAAGCAACTTTTGATAAGTTCTAAAATGCAAATCAGGCACGTGAGCAGTTACTGATTGATACCTAATATTATAACAGATCATCATACCCTCATATTTCTCCTTCTTCACGTGCAACCGACGCTGGCGTCTCTCATTCTGCTGCTTCTCACTAACTCGTCTCTAGCTCGTCCGTTGATCGTCCGTCGCTCCGTCGTCGCTCCTCCGTCTCTCCTCTGCTATCTAGTTACAGATCCCGAGCTCTTCATCTCTTCCCTTCCCCAAGCTCCATCAGATGCTCGATCCGACAGTCCAGATCCGTGTGAGACGGCATCATTCTATGCAACTCCTATACCTCCCCTTCCCAAAAATTCTCAGATCCCCAGCTAGAAGATACACAGATCGACGAAGATGCAAAACCGTATTGTTGAAACCTATCGATTTTATGAGTATGATATTAGTGGCTGCTCAATCGAGTTGGAAACCCAGCAACGGCAAATGATGACAGGTTGGGGGAGGAGTTTTGAGCCGAGAAGTGGAGAACGAGATGAATCGATTCGAACATCGGTGTGGTTCAAATCTCTCAATTATTCCAGACTCAGCTTCTTTTCTGTTTTTGTGCTTCTCTGAGAGAAGGGGGAAAAAAGAAACAGACGCTAACAAATCAAAAATAATTTTGTTTTTAACTTTATTTGTGTGTTTGGGAATTCTGAACTGTGCATGATGCGAGGGCCGAGGAAAATTGCCGCGATGATGAGGAGTCAGACTTGAGCCAGCCACTCAGCTTGAAATGATGAGAAAATAAAACTTAAAAAAATTAGAGGACAATGTCTTAATCAAAAAAAATTACAGGACAGTGAATTTCGTTCTCTTATAGTTTTAATATTATTATTTTTATAAGTATTGTGAGTTTGCATGAAAAAGAAAGCAACCCCATCTTCCATATATTTATATCTTTTTAATCAATAAGAGTATGATTAAAAATTGAGACATTTTTTTAATAAATAAAACAACGTAATAACTTTCATTAATTTGCATGAAAAACATCTCAAACGTAATAACTGTTTGTATTGTTATATCACATATGCATAAATAATAGAAATATACGTGCGTGTATCAACATAAATATATAATTAAAGATTAAATTATATATTATAGATCGAACCATCAATCATGTAATTATTCAATATTAATAAATGTTTAACTATTTATTACATATTTTTTTAAAATTAAATTTTATATTTTTTCTTATTATTTAGCATTTTAAATTTTACGTTATTTTAAATTTATTTCACATTTTTTAAACATTGCTAATATATTATATTTTTATAATAAAAATTATAAATTATTATAACTCAATGTTTTTTTTCGCTATTACATATAAAAAGTACATTTTAAAAGCATAAATTTTTATTAATTCAAACAACTTTCAATTTGCTAAACTGACTTTTAAAAATATATTTAAATATAAATTTCGTTACAATAGCTAACTTTCACCAAATTGACTTTTGTCAAATGAACTTTTATTGAATTGACTTTTGATAAATTGAAAATAAAACACACTAAATTTTCAAAGTTAACGATTAAAATAGAGAAAAGTAACAGCAAAGTAACATTGTGCGAAATTAAAAAAATATTAGAGCCAAATTGTGCTAAAAAATATTTAAGAATATAGGGTATATCTGATTGAAAATTTTGACAGCAAATTTGTACTTTAATCCTAAACTTGTTTTGCAAGGTTTTTCATGCGCAAGTAAGCATTCAGAGGGCCCCCACCAACTGTTAGGAAACCATTAAAAACTAGCCAGGAATCTCCAAGACATTTATATTACAACAAAAAACAGAAGAAATCCAACTAGTGCATTAATGAGTAAATTCTGAATATCCATCGTGGCCATGGTGAAATTTTTCATCCCAGGATAAGCAAATTTAAGAGAATTAAATATCTAAACGTCTAGCATATCTGAAAATTTATAACTAATCATGCTCTGTGGATAAGTAGAAAATTCTCTCCATGCTTAACCTCCACCAATACACCATTATTAATTACTTGATCATTTTGAAAACCTGATAATCTGAAACCCTGCATCAGCGAACTTTAGCCTTTTTGGTCTGGCCTTGGCTCTGGACGGCCGAACAGATTTTCTTCCAACAGCGAATGGAAATGAGTGAAGGGATCACAATCCAAGAGAAATTTGCTCCAATGTAGTATGCATAATAGTAAAACGTGTTAGCAGAGAAGTTGTCACCTTCCAAAATGGCTGTTGTATAATATACAGCAGTTCCATATAGCTGTCCTAAAGAAATAGCAAACTGAAGTATGTAGCTGTATGACTTTCCAGTAGCTATTGCATATCTGTAATCCACAATGGCAGCATAAACACAAGGCGAAAATGGAAAATGACAGAAAAGAAGTTGACAAGTTATAAGATAACCCAGAATTAGGATGGACTTATAAGCATTGACTTGTTTCAGCATCATAACATTTGTCATCTTGTTTTTGAACTTACACAGCCAAAAGGCTAGCTGGACCCTCCAAAACTGCCGTAATTCCTTCAACAGTAACAATCCCGGCATCCCTTGCAGCATACCTTGAATCCCCCTTGCTATATTCCTTCCCTGTCAATTGTTCATATAGGATTTTCATCAACTAACATTGCTAATTCATGGAAAGGAATTACAAGTTCAAATGCTAAGAATGTGATGTAAGCAACGTGAAAAAGAAATTAAGAGACTCACAAACTTCAGCCAAGTAGTTGGCAGTCTTATCCTTGTAAAATTCTGGGGAGAAAACAAAATAGCCTTCAAGAATAATGTGTGTGAGGCCTGTGAAGGCCCACCAGCACATTAACACACGATCAATTGTTCTCTTGGCCAGGCGTCCTGTGAAAAGATAAACAGTCATGTCAACAGAAATAAAAATGAGTTACCTATATTCGTTTTCCTTTACCAGATGGAAGAAATTTGCATTGGAATGACCAAGAATAAATCCAGGCGAACGACTTGAAATTTGAAGCGGAACATATGATTTTGCGTGCTCATATGGTAATGCACCTAGCGTGAAGAGAATATGCACACTTACAGAGTGATTTCCTAATCAAATTGAATGAACTGAGACACTGAAAATGAAACAACACGTTTGCTTTAGCGCGCACACTAATTGGATTCTAAAATTTTATCCATAGTTCTTGTCTAAAGCAAAATATAGCCCTCAAATCCAGCAAGAAGAAAAATATTGCAAGCAGCAGAATGAATGGCAGAGTAGGTTCAGTCTTCTGTGTATAATCAAAATTTCCACATAAATTTCAGCAATCGTATAATGTATAATTTGGCCAGGGCAAATCAAGATTCCAAGGAAAACCTTGCCAGTACTTTTCTTCCAGATCTTTCACAAGGAGGGGGGGGGGGGAAAACACCCGCTAGCCAAATATTGTAATGTACTATACAAAATGATGCGCTCAAATACGCAATCAAGGTAATCTAATGCATTCTGGAACAGCAGAGACCAAATACAACAACATTGAGAACTGAGAAGATAATTTCAACATGTAAAGAGTGGGGAAAAGATAAAACTCTCCCTCAGAAAAGACCTCTATACGGAAAACTCTTCGGAGCAAACATGTTAAAGACGGGCATTATACTAATTTTTTTTAGTGGGCAATAAAAAAAAGTCAAATCAATCAGAACAATTACCCTGAAGTATAGAAATGTCCATTTCAACTTGGAACATAAGAGTCATTTTTTTGGACGAAGAAAAGAACCCAATGAATGAATCTACAGATTGGATAAGGGTACCTGAGAAGATCCAGATGAAAGAGACGACGAGAAGAGAAGCGACACCGTAGACTCCAACAATGGTGGACTGAGAGAGGACTAAGGGAACAAAACCAGGAAGCTGCAAGTCCCTTGGTTCATAGGGATGACTGTGTGAGACCTGAGACCCTTCCATCGTCGCTGCTCTGCGCTGGACCCCTGTGGAGACGGACCGGAAAACGCGGTGGAGTATTCTGAGAGCATCAACGCAGGCACATGTAAAATGAATAAATAATGCATACATGAATGAGAAAAATGTAACCTTTTAAAGTAACCACATTAAATGAGGATTAATTAGTCGGTTTTCTTTTGGACAGCTATAATTATTGACTATTAGCAACTGTATTGAATATTAAATTAATTTTAAAATACATAAAATTTCCAAAATTTCATTAAAAAATTATGCATTTTTAATTTTTAAATTTATATAAGTTTTTTTGTGATATTATAGAAGTTGGTCTTTGAAAAAAAAATCAACTATTCAAATTTCTTAATAGTTTAATTGAGATTACATGTATTTATTTTATATTTATTAAATATTTTTTATGTATAGTATATACTAAAATAAATTGAGTAAAGGTATGATTTTGATATAATTGATGTGAAAGTAATAATTTTAAAGATGGTACAGAAGTTCAAGTATTTTAATAAATTTAAAGATTCTATGTAATTTAATTTTTTATTATCATTATATTACTCAAATATTGTCAATATATTTTAAATAGATTATCAATATCCAGCTTCTAGTGAATTCTTTGATCCATAAACTTTTATTAATACAAATCAATGTATAAATTCTTTATATCTCACTCCCTGTTGTTTACAATTTTTCAGGTTAAGATAAGGGCAAGGACAAGGGGGAAACATTCCAAGTTAGAGACTCTTAGATTGTATAATAAGATTTCTAGTATATTACGTGTAATTTTAAATATTCATATTGCCAACTTAGAGGTCATTCTCTGTGGAGCTGTATATTCATTTGCATTATAGCCTAGTGGTTGACTTAGGGGTTACTGGTGTATCTTGGCTCATATGGGGTCTTAAAACCCTAGATTGATCATTTATAGATTCATGGTATTGATGCAAATGTATGATGATAGTGCATGCATAATTTTACAACATTAAAGCTATTCATAGCATGTTCTAAAGGTTTTGAAATTGGATCCACCATGAATTATGTTGTTAGGGTGGTGATTTGTTGGTCTTAACACTTTGAATGCTTGTAACTTGTTGAGCATGATTATTTAGGTTAATTATGTTTAAGGTTGTTATGGAGGCTAATGGCTTAAGGTTTGAGTTTGGTCACTTGGTTGATTATTTAGATTGCAAAAAGAGTTTGTTATAGCCTAAGGCATCCAAAATTCCCACATGTTGTCAAATTATTGTGGAATCAAAGCCATTAGATAGTTTGTTTATTTATCTACATATGGATGCTTGGATAATCTTCATTAGAGGTCTAAGCAAAAAGTTTTGCACACTGAAAGTTGACTCTAGTTAGTTGTCAACAATGTGCACTATGATAGATCATGTGTCCTATGTAGCACATTATTGAACAATGTGTTTTGATAATAACAAAAATAAGAGGAAGGTGTTTGTTACTTGTGCAAAAATATAGTATCATGAATCAAATGACAAAACATCAAGAAGAAAGCTATTATGGGAATTATCATAAGTATGATGCACTCAAAGATAAGTGAGCATGAGGAAGAAGAAGACTAAAAGTCATCATATACATGTTACACTTAAGAATGAAGATCAATAGAAGATTTGATATAATAGGTTTACTTTATTTATTCTTCTCTTAGATATTTTTCTAACAATTGTTGAGAGTTAAAATACATGTTTATCTATGATAAAAATACATCATATAGAAAGTTATGGGCTCATAAGTCCTTTAAGCTTAAATGTCTTATCCAAGCTTGGACAAGAAGTGGCCTAAGCTTGTTTGACCATTGTTGACATATGCTCATGCTTTATGTTGTTCCATCCACACTTGGACTGTAGGTGTTCCACACATGTTTGTTCATCCATTGTGCATATAGGATTTAATGGTTCTCATTCAAGCTTGAACTATAATTGGACCTTGCTTAAATTACAACTTTAGAAGTTAGACATAGCATCGTGAGCTCATCCAAGCAAGGACAAGTTTTTGTCTACTCTTAGTTGAAGAATTAGTGAGCATTATGTGCTCATCCAAGCAAGGACAAGTTTTTGTCCATGCTTGTTTGATGAGTCAGTGTGGGAAGTGTCTTGGAAATACTTCTGTGATATAATTCACACTTAAGTTATATATGGAACCATGCTTGATTGATCCTAAGTTTTAGCTTGAAGTGTGCCTAAATAATAATTCATGCTTGAATGAATGAAACACTTATTAACTTTTAAGTTTGACTTAGAGAGAGCATCAGCACTGAACAAGCTATCTAAGCTTAGTTGACATATGTCCAAGCAAGTTTGACATCATAGAGAGCGAGGTACCTCTATACACTTATCCATGCTTGGATTAGAATTGCTCATAGCAGTTTCATGACTTCAGTAATGCTTAATGCTTCAATCTTCATCAAACATATTCAAGCCTAAACTGGTCCAAGCTTGGATCAGTTAATGCTTCAATCTTCATCAAACATATTCGAGCCTAAACTGGTCCAAGCTTGGATCAGGTGTGTAACATCCTAAAAAAATTTTAGACTTGAATTTATTTTAAAAAATAAAATAAAATATCTATAATTAAATTAAAATTTAGAATAATTTGATAGAGGTCCAGAGTTTAAATTTTACTAAGTAAAAGTTGGGTTTTATTTTATTTTTAACTGTGAAAAAAATTATCAAAGTTGACCCGAGCTTTTGTGCTATAATAAAAAATACTGGGCCTTTTCTTGTAATTTTTTCTAAAGTCTTATATCAGCTTTTTTAAGGGAAAACTGAATGCAGGAAACACAGAAAAAAAGAACAAAGAGCACGTGAGAGTAAGAGGAAGGAGAGAGGAAAAAGAGAGAGAGTTAGGCTTGAATCTAGGAGGCTTTATGACCGTTGCGAGTTTAGCTACATGATAGGTAAACTTCCTACTTTAATCCTCTTCCCTTCCTCTTAATTTTCTTCAATTTTTGGAAGAGGAAATTTTTAAATTTTGATCCTAAAAGCTTTATTCTTGTAAGCTTTTGTTTCTTTGGATCCTAAGGAGGATATTTTGAGTTTCTATATAGTGATTTAATATTTTGAGTGGATAATTAGATGAAAAGAGGTGTTTTGGGTATAAATTAAACCCTGAAAGATTGAGTTTTGCTTCTCAATGGTTTAAGCCTATTGATTTAGTTATAATTTTGCTATTTGAGGCCAATAAGATTTAAATTAAGGTTTGGTTTTCATTATAAGGGCTAATGATAAAAGTTGGTGACACTAAGTAAAGGTTTTAATTAATTAAAAATTATATGAATTGAAAATTAGCCTAGTGATGGCTAATAAATGATTTTGGTGGTTAAGTGATACTATGTGAATGGTTGGTTTAATATATGGACCATTAGGATGGATTATGACTTATTAATTTAAGTTGTGTGGCATGAGTTATAGTCTTCATTAATGCTATTTGTCTTGATAAGTGATATGGATCACTTATATGTTGTAGAGAATTATTGATGGAACTTATTGAGAAGTTAAGGAATAAGCTAAGTCCTATTTTGTACAAGAAGAACCCTTTTGGGTCCTAAAAGGTTGAGGTAACAAGGGAATTTATATTTTTTATTACTTTGTTTTAGCTATTTTTGAATAAATATTACTAGCTATCATGCATTTCATGTTTTAAAAGATTAAATGAGCTTGATAAGGGGTTATGGGGTACTACTTTGATTATAGTACAAATATGTTTTCTAATTATTTAACAATGTTTTTATGGAAATAAAATTTGTTTGCATGTATTGTAATAATAAAGAATAGAAGTTGCACTTAAGGAAGTGTAACTAAGGTACCTTAGATAGGCTAAGGAACTATTTAAGGGAGATTTATAAATGTTATACCATCTTAGAATGTTGAAGTGGTCAATACTCGGGAAAGGTAGACGCGAATAAAAGGCATGATCTCGGTGATAGTTCACCAATGAGAAGGTGTGGACTTTTAATATTATATGGCACACTGCCAGTACTCAGTGTTGCCTTACATATTGTGAGCTCAGTGCACTAAAGTGGTTAGTGTATTGAGTGTTCGACACCTCTCAGTGGGGGAGGGAATCCGACATATGAAGTGTGAGGTTGAGTGCCTAGGCCAAGGTAGTCCTTACATAGAGAGTAAGTTGGGCTGACTCTGGGAGGGAGTTATCTTTGACTGCTCAGGATTCATGTCGAAGGGGCATAGGTAGTTTGGTGGATTAGATCATACCTTATATTATGTTTTGTGCCTGTGGAGGTATAAGTAGGTATAAGGTTTACCTGTGAGTTAAAGAGTATCAGGAGGCATTCTATTGGTCATGAAAGGCCATACCAGCCTATGTCATGCATTCATACATTTTAAATGGCTAAATTACATACTATGTTAAATTTATTATTTATTTATTCGATTATGGCTTGCTTTGTAATAATTAATGTAGATTTCTCTGTTACTGAGACTGCGGTTGTCTCACCCCTTTCTTTTCAATATTTTCAGGTTCAGGCGAAGGAACCAGTAGAGAACGGGAAAAGGAGCAGAGCTAGGGGTTGTTTGTGAATTGTAAAGAATTGCAACTCCTTTCTTTTGAGAAAATCTATTATAATATATTTAGGATTAGGGTGCCAGTAGGATATGATTATGTATATGTGCGTGAGTATGTGTGGATTGTATGGCTTGTGTATGAATTTTTATTTGCTTATAGACTTGTGGCTAGAAAACTTGGCTATGGTGTATGGTTTTGATGAATTTATTTAGTAGACTAAGTTTCCACTACAAGCAAATATTTATTTTGGTATATATGTGATTTCACAAGCAAATGCAAAGTGGTTGTATTGCAAATGGTGTGCTATAGGAAAACATATACCTTGGATAGAGAGAGTGGGTGCATGGGCCCCATAGAGATCTCTGAGCCAAGTGAAAATGTTTAGCATGTGTATTCATATGTGTATATGATATTTGGAATAGTTTTTGGCCACTCTTATATGATTTGTGCATTTTGAGAGTTTAGGGTCCATTTTGAAAAAATGGCACCCGGGTGATCAAATTTTAGTATAAAGAATTTTTCTATCATTTACATGTTCTACC